GGTTTTGATGTCCCGCGGGTGCAGGTCCTTCTTCTTGGAGCTCATCAGCTCCCCTGCTGCCACCAGCTGGAAAATTCCCAACAATTCCCATCATTCCCATGATTTGGGATCATTTAAAGCCACGAAATCCCAAAAATTCCCATTAAATTCCCATTAAAATCCCATTATTCCCAAGGTTTTGATGTCCCGTGGGTGCAGGTCCTTCTTCTTGGAGCTCATCAGCTCCCCTGCTGCCACCAGCTGGAAAATTCCCAACATTCCCATGATTTGGGATTGTTTAAAGCCACGAAATCCCAAAAATTCCCATTCAAATCCCAAAAATTCCCATTAAAATCCCAAAAATTCCCATTAAATTCCCAAAGTTTTGATGTCCTATGGATGGAGGTTCTCCTTCTTGGAGCTCATCAGCTCCCCTGCTGCCACCAGCTGGAAAATTCCCAACATTCCCATGATTTGGGATGGTTTAAAGCCATGAAATCCCAAAAATTCCCATTAAAATCCAAAATTCCCATTAAATTCCCATTAAAATCCCATTATTCCCAAGGTTTTGATGTCCCGCGGGTGCAGGTCCTTCTTCTTGGAGCTCATCAGCTCCCCTGCTGCCACCAGCTGGAAAATTCCCAACAATTCCCATCATTCCCATGATTTGGGATCGTTTAAAGCCATGAAATCCCAAAAATTCCCATTAAAATCCAAAAAATTCCCATTAAATTCCCATTAAAACCCCATTATTCCCAAGGTTTTGATGTCCCGTGGGTGCAGGTCCTTCTTCTTGGAGCTCATCAGCTCCCCTGCTGCCACCAGCTGGAAAATTCCCAACATTCCCATGATTTGGGATTGTTTAAAGCCACGAAATCCCAAAAATTCCCATTCAAATCCCAAAAATTCCCATTAAAATCCCAAAAATTCCCATTAAATTCCCAAAGTTTTGATGTCCTATGGATGGAGGTTCTCCTTCTTGGAGCTCATCAGCTCCCCTGCTGCCACCAGCTGGAAAATTCCCAACATTCCCATCATTCCCATGATTTGGGATCGTTTAAAGCCATGAAATCCCAAAAATCCCCATTCAAATCCCAAAAATTCCCATTAAATTCCCATTAAAATCCCATTATTCCCAAGGTTTTGATGTCCTGCGGGTGCATGTCCTTCTTCTTGGAGCTCATCAGCTCCCCTGCTGCCACCAGCTGGAAAATCCCAACAATTCCCATCATTCCCATGATTTAGGATCATTTAAAGCCATGAAATCCCAAAAATTCCCATTCATATCCCAAAAATTCCCATTAAATTCCAATTATTCCCAGGGTTTTGATGTCCCGCGGGTGCAGGTCCTTCTTCTTGGAGCTCATCAGCTCCCCTGCTGCCACCAGCTGGAAAATTCCCAACATTCCCATGATTTGGGATGGTTTAAAGCCATGAAATCCCAAAAATTCCCATTCAAATCCCAAAAATTCCCATTAAATTCCCATTAAATTCCCATTAAATTCCCATTATTCCCAGGGTTTTGATGTCCTATGGATGGAGGTCCTTCTTCTTGGAGCTCATCAGCTCCCCTGCTGCCACCAGCTGGAAAATTCCCAACAATTCCCAACATTCCTGCACTTTGGGATCATTCAGGACCATGAAATCCCAAAAATTCCCATTCAATTCCCATTAAAATCCCATAAAAATCCCATTTTTTCCCTATGTTTGGGATGGAACAGGAGCTTGGAAAATCCCCAAAATTCCCATAAAAATCCCATAAAAATCCCATTAAATTCCCATAAAAATCCCACAAAATCCCATTAAAATCCCACTAAAATCCCATTTTTTCCCTGTGTTTGGAGCAGAACAGAAGCTTGGAAAAACCCCAAAATTCCCATAAAAGTCCCATAAAAATCCCATAAAAATCCCATAAAAATCCCATTAAATTCCCATAAAAATCCCATAAAAATCCCATTAAATTCCCATAAAAATCCCATTTTTCCCCTGTGTTTGGAGCAGAACAGGATCTTGGAAAATTCCCAAAATTCCCATAAAAATCCCATAAAAATCCCATAAAAATCCTATCAAATTCCCATTAAAATCCCATAAAAATCCCATAAAAATCCCATTTTTTCCCTGTGTTTGGGATGGAACAGGAGCTTGGAAAATCCCCAAAATTCCCATAAAAATCCCATAAAAATCCCATAAAAATCCTATCAAATTCCCATTAAAATCCCATAAAAATCCCATTTTTTCCCTGTGTTTGGGATGGAACAGGAGCTTGGAAAATTCCCAAAATTCCCATAAAAATCCCATAAAAATCCCATAAAAATTCCATTAAATTCCCATAAAAATCCCATAAAAATCCCATTAAATTCCCATAAAAATCCCATTAAATTCCCATAAAAATCCCATAAAAATCCCATTAAATTCCCATAAAAATCCCATAAAAATCCCATAAAATTCCCATAAAAATCCCATAAAATTCCCATAAAATTCCCATAAAAATCCCATAAAATTCCCATAAAAATCCCATAAAAATCCCATTAAATTCCCATAAAAATCCCATAAAAATCCCATAAAAATCCCATAAAAATCCCATAAAAACCCCATTAAATTCCCATAAAAATCCCATTTTTCCCTTAATTTTGCTCTTTAGAGCCAGGATTTTTTGGCGACACAGGGAAAATTTCATGACAAAACGTGGGAAAACCCCCCAAATTCCCAGAAATCGGCCCAGAATTCCCAAAATTCCCTGGAAAAATCCCAAACTGACGTTGGCAGAGAGCGTGCAGCGAACCACGGCCTCGTCCCCTTCCAGGTCATCGTCCGAAGCCTCGTCCCGAACTTCCCCGTAAATGTCCTCGTCCCCCTCCTGGAAAAACATTTCCAATGGGATATTCCAAAAATCCCATTTTTATCCCTCTTTTCCCACCCCAAAATCCCTTTTTTCCATCAAAAATCCCATTTTTATCCCTTTTTTACCTCAAAAATCCCATTTTTATCCCTCTTTTCCCCACCTCAAAATCCCTTTTTTCCATCAAAAATCCCATTTTTATCCCTCTTTTCCCCACCTCAAAATCCCTTTTTTCCATCAAAAATCCCATTTTTATCCCTCTTTTCCCTCAAAAATCCATTTTTGATCCCTCTTTTCCCTCAAAAAGGGATAAAAGGAAAAATGGGAAAGGGGAAAAGGGGATAAAAGGGAAAAAGGGATAAATGAAAAATGGGATAAAAGAAAAAATGGGAAATAGAAAAATGGAATAAAAGGAAAAATGAGATTAAAAAAATGGGATAAAATAAAATGGGATAAAAGAAAAAAACGGGATAAAAGAAAAAATAGGATTAAAAAAAATGGGATAAAGAAAATGGGATAAAGGGAAAATGGGATAAAAGAAATGGAATAAAATAAAAAATGGGATTAAAAAAAATGGGAATAAAAAAATGGGATAAAATAAAATGGGATAAAAGGAAATGGGATAAAAGGAAATGGGATAAAAGAAAATGGGATTAAAAAATGGGATAAAATAAAATGGGATAAAATAAAAAATAGGATTAAAAAAAAACTGGGATAAAAAAATGGGATAAAATAAAATGGGATAAAAGGGAAAATGGGATAAAAAAAATGGGATAAAATAAAAAATAGGATTAAAAAAAATGGGATAAAAAAAACGGGATTAAAAAACGGGATTAAAAAATGGGATAAAAGGGAAAAATGGGATTAAAAATGGGATTAAAAAATGGGATAAAAGGGAAAAATGGGATTAAAAAATGGGATTAAAAAATGGGATAAAAGGGAAAAATGGGATAAAAAATGGGATAAAAAAATGGGATAAAAAAATGGGATAAAAAATGGGATAAAATGGAAAAATGGGATTAAAAAATGGGATAAAAAATGGGATAAAATGGAAAAATGGGATAAAAAATGGGATAAAAAATGGGATAAAATAAATGGGATAAAAAAATGGGATAAAAGGGAAAAATGGGATAAAAAAATGGGATAAAATAAAATGGGATAAAATAAAATGGGATAAAATAAAATGAGATAAACGAAAATGGGATAAAGAAAATGGGATAAAAAAAATGGGATAAACAAAAATGGGATAAAAGGGAAAAATGAGATTAAAAAATGGGATAAAAGTGAAAAATGGGATAAAAAATGGGATAAAAAGGAAAAATGGGATTAAAAAATGGGATAAAAAAATGGGATAAAATAAAATGGGATAAAAAAAAATGGGATAAAAAAATGGGATAAAATAAAATGGGATAAAATAAAATGGGATTAAATAAAATGGGATAAAAAAATGGTATTAAAAAATGGGATAAAAGGGAAAATGGGATAAAAAATGGGATAAAATAGAATGGGATAAAAGGGAAAAATGGGATAAAAAATGGGATAAAATAGAATGGGATAAAAGAAGGAAGAGGCGTTTTCCCGGGAAAAGCGGGAGCGCGGATCCGGCCCCACCTCCTCGTCAGACTCGAACTGAACGTTCACCCCGTACGTCTCGTCGATGTTGTCATCTGCAGGGAACAGCCAGAGAAATCAGCCGGGATCCCAGGGGATCCCAGGGGATTCATTGGGATCCAGCACCGAATTCCAGGGGATCCCAGGGGATTCCGGGGGATTCCAGGGATACGGAACCGAATTCCAGGGGATTCCAGGGGATCCCAGGGGATTCCAGGGGATCCCGGGGGATTCATTGGGATCCAGCACCGAATTCCAGGGGATCCCAGGGGATTCCAGGGGATTCCAGGGGATCCCAGGGGATCCCAGGGGATTCCAGAGGATTCCGGGGGATTCCGGGGGATTCCAGGGGATCCCGGGGGATCCCAGGGGATTCCAGGGGATTCCAGGGGATCCCGGGGGATTCTGGGGGATTCCAGGGGATTCCAGGGGATTCCAGGGGATCCCAGGGGATCCCAGGGGATTCCAGGGGATTCCGGGGGATCCCGGGGGATTCCAGGGGATTCATCGGGATACGGAACCGAATCCCAGGGGATTCCAGGGGATTCCGGGGGATTCCGGGGGATTCCAGGGGATTCATCAGGATACGGAACCGAATTCCAGGGGATTCCAGGGGATTCCAGGGGATCCCAGGGGATTCCAGGGGATTCATCGGGATCCAGGGTGGAATTCCAGGGAATTCCCGGGATCCGGTGTGGAATTCAGTGGGAATTCCATGGAATTGACCGAGAATTCCCAGGATTCAGCATGGAATTCCATGGAATTCCCGGGATTCGGCACGGAACTCACCGGGAATTCCATGGAATGCAAAATCACCAAAAAAATCGAAAAAAATTGAAAAAAAATCTAAAAAAATTCCCAAAAAATTCCCCAAAAAATTCCCAAAATTCCCAATTTTCCCTACCCATGTTCTGGATGTTTAAACTTTTTAAAAACATAAAAAGACCTGAAAAAATCCCTCAAAAAATGAGAAAAATATCACAAAAAAATCGCCAAAAAATCGCAAAAAATAGCTAAAAAAATCGGAAAAAAATCCAAAAAAAATCAAAAAAATTCCCCAAAAATTCCCAGAATTCCCAGAATTCCCCCCAAAAATTCCCAGAATTCCCAGAATTCCCAGAATTCCCTACCCATGTTCTGGATGTTTAAACTTTTCAAAAATATAAAAAGACCTGAAAAAAATCCCTCAAAAAATGAGAAAAATATCGCGAAAAATGAAAAAAAATCACAAAAAATAGCTCAAAAAATCGGAAAAAAATCCAAAAAAAATCCGAAAAAACCCCAAAAAATTCCCAAAAAATTCCCAAAAATTCCCAGAATTCCCAGAATTCCCTACCCATGTTCTGGATGTTTAAACTTTTTAAAAATATAAAAAGACCTGAAAAAATCCCTCAAAAAATGAGAAAAATATCGCAAAAAGTCGCCAAAAATAGCTAAAAAAATCGGAAAAAAATCAAAAAAAAATCGAAAAAATTCCCAAAAAATTCCCAGAATTCCCAGAATTCCCTACCCATGTTCTGGATGTCCTTGTCCCCGCCGTAGTCGGTGATTTTCTTGCCCAGGTTGACCAGCACGTGGTAGCGCGTGTCGTCGGCCGGGCCCAGCACAACTCAATACCCAAAAATCCCTAAAAATCCCCAAAAATTCCCAAAAAAATCCCCAAAAATTCCCCCAAAAAAATCCCAAATAAAATAAAAATCAATTTAGAATGGAAAAACATTTTAGAAACATAAAAAGACCTGAAAAAAATCCCTTAAAAAATGAGAAAAATATCGCAAAAAATCGCAAAAAATAGCTAAAAAAATTGGAAAAAAATCCAAAAAAAATCGAAAAAATTCCCCAAAAATTCCCAGAATTCCCTACCCATGTTCTGGATGTTTAAACTTTTCAAAAATACAGAAAGACCTGAAAAAATCCCTCAAAAAATGAGAAAAATATCGTGAAAAATCGCCAAAAAATCGCAAAAAATAGCTCAAAAAATCGGAAAAAAATCCAAAAAAAATCCGAAAAAACCCCAAAAAATTCCCAAAAAATTCCCAAAAATTCCCAGAATTCCCAGAATTCCCTACCCATGTTCTGGATGTTTAAACTTTTTAAAAATATAAAAAGACCTGAAAAAATCCCTCAAAAAATGAGAAAAATATCGCAAAAAGTCGCCAAAAATAGCTAAAAAAATCGGAAAAAAATCAAAAAAAAATCGAAAAAATTCCCAAAAAATTCCCAGAATTCCCAGAATTCCCTACCCATGTTCTGGATGTCCTTGTCCCCGCCGTAGTCGGTGATTTTNACAAAATAAAGGATAAGGTGTGCATGGGAAAAACCAAAAAATCAAAATAAAGGGTAAGGTGGGAATGGGAAAATTAGGGAAAATGAAATAAAGGGTAAGGTGGGAATGGGAAAACAAAAAAAAACCAAAATAAAGGATAAGGTGTGCCTGGAAAAACCTGGGAAAACATAAAAAAGGATAAGGTGTGAATGGGAAAACCAAAAAAAATCAAAATAAAGGGTAAGGTGTGAATGGGAAAATTCGGGAAAATGAAATAAAGGATAAGGTGTGCATGGGAAAACCAAAAAAAATCAAAATAAAGGGTAAGGAGGGCATGGGAAAACCAGAAAAAACCAAAATAAAGGGTAAGGTGGGCATGGGAAAACCAAAAAAAACCAGAATAAAGGGTAAGGTGCGCATGGGAAAACCAAAAAATCAAAATAAAGGGTAAGGTGTGTCTGGAAAAACCTGGAAAAACCCAGAAAAAACAAAAAAATCGGAAATTTTTTCCTTGGGTTTGAAGGGAAAGCAGCAGATTCCAGCTGGGAATTCAGATTTGAATTTGTGTAATCTTTTTTGGGAGTGGTTGGGGGTGTTTGAGGTGAGTAAATGCAAGGATTTTACCTCTCCTCCCTGGTCTAGATCCATGGATTCCAGGTCGGTGTCCATGCGGGATTGCCGCACGCGTTCCCGCCGGGAGCGTTCCTCCTGAGGGGAAAAATCGGGATTTGGCCCTGGGAAAAGGGATCAGCCTCATCCCAAGGTGCTCCAATTTCCTTGGGAATAAACCAGGAATGACCATTTTTTGGGGGATAAGCAAATTTCCCCTCACAAATTTGGCTCCTGATCCATTCCTGAGGGGAAAAATTGGGATTCAGGCCCAGGAAAAGGCCTCAGCCTCATCCCAAGGTGCTCCTGATCCCTCAATTTCCTTGGGAATAAACCAGGAATGACCATTTCTGGTAGGAAAAGCAAAATTCCCCTCACAAATGTGGCTCCTGACCCACTCCTGACGGGAAAAAAATCAGGATTCGGCCTCAAGGAAGAGGCTCAGCCTCCTCCGAAGTGCTCCTGATCCCAAATTCCTTTGGAAAAAGGCATCCATAAACCAGGAATAACCATTTTGATAAACCAGGAATGACCATTTTTGTTGGGAAAAGCAAAATTCCCCTCAGAAATGTGGCTCCTGACCCACTCCTGAGGGGAAAAATTGGGATTCAGGCCCAGGAAAAGGCCTCAGCCTCATCCCAAGGTGCTCCTGATCCCTCAATTTCCTTGGGAATAAACCAGGAATGACCATTTCTGGTGGGAAAAGCAAAATTCCCCTCAGAAATTTGGGTTCTGCCCCATTCCTGAGGGGAAAAATCGGGATTCAGGCCCAGGAAAAGGCCTCAGCCTCATCCCCAGGTGCTCCTGATCCCTCAATTTCCTTTTAATAAACCAGGAATGACCATTTCTGGTGGGAAAAGAAAATTTCCCCTCAGAAATTTGGGTTCTGCCCCATTCCTGAGGGGAAAAATCGGGATTCAGGCCCAGGAAAAGGCCTCAGCCTCATCCCAAGGTGCTCCTGATCCCTCAATTTCCTTGGGAATAAACCAGGAAGAACCATTTTTATGGGGATAAGCAAAATTCCCCTCAGAAATGTGGCTCCTGACCCATTCCTGAGGGGAAAAATTGGGATTTGGCCCTGGGAAAAGGGATCAGCCTCATCCCAACGTGCTCCTGATCCCTCAGTTTCCTTGGGAATAAACCAGGAATGACCATTTCTGGTAGGAAAAGCAAAATTCCCCTCAGAAATTTGGGTTCTGCCCCATTCCTGAGGGGAAAAATCGGGATTCAGGCCCAGGAAAAGGCCTCAGCCTCATCCCAAGGTGCTCCTGATCCCTCAATTTCCTTTTAATAAACCAGGAATGACCATTTCTGGTGGGAAAAGAAAATTTCCCCTCAGAAATGTGGCTCCTGCCCCACTCCTGAGGGGAAAAATTGGGATTCGGCCTCAAGGAAGAGGCTCAGCCTCCTCCAAAGTGCTCCTGATCCCAAATTCCTTTGGAAAAAGGCACACATAAACCAGGAATAACCATTTTGATAAACCAGGAATGACCATTTTTGGTGGGATAAGCAAAATTTCCCTCACAAATGTGGCTCCTGACCCATTCCTGAGGGGAAAAATCGGGATTCAG